ATTTTACGAGGACCTTCGTGATTAATGAAATCAGAAAAGCCGATGATGATTCCACAGTTTAAGAATGATGCAATAAATCCCATTTGAACGTTTTTTCGTTTCGAAACGTTTTTCCATATCATTTCTTCCAACGTTGCATTGCGATTCTTTACGATCAAGTTCTTTTAAATATTCTAAATATTTCTTAAGTTCTTCATCAGATATTTTTGTCTCAATTGATGGTTCTTCTACACATTTAATCCGATGATGATCGCAATAATAATTTCTATTATCTGAAATTGAAAATGGAGACAAATATTTCTTGTAATAATGAACTTAATGTAACTATATGTGAGTTTTCTTCAATGAATTTTCATAGGATTCATTCAATCGGGAGTGATTTAGTAATTTTTTTATTTAAAATACTCGATGCTTTTATATTTAGAAAAAGAGTTCCAATAAATAAATACTACCAACGACAAAGCGACTGCGAATCGTATTTTTTATCTAAAATATAGATTTTACGGCCAGAAGGAGTTTTTGGGATATATATGAATAGTACAAGTATGGTCATTCATAATACAAATAAAAGTTTAATGTGGAGATACAAAGTGTTGATATACTTTCTGACGTAAGTGAAGTTAGCATCCGATTCGAGTAATTGCATCACCGATTCGTCCCGAGACCTGTTCCAAACGTTCCAATGCTTGTTCCAAGTACAACTCGACGAGCTCTATTCTATGCTCAGATTATTCATAGCCCAAACTATGATTTTTGGTGAAATTACTCGAATTAGGTGCTAACTTCATTTACGTCAGAAAGTATATCAACACTTTGTATCATCATATTAAACTTTTATTTGTATTATATACGTTTACACTTGTACTATTCATATATATCCAAGAAAACTTCTGACCGTAAAATCTGTATTTTAGACCAAAAATAGGATTCGTAGTCGTTTTGTCGTTGGTGATGGATTAAATGATTTACGTACCATTTATTTCTTGATTATCCGATTTTTTCTCCTCGGCATGTACGGGCATCCCTTGTTAAGGGTACCCCTCCCCTCTTTTTGGGCTTTCCGTAGAAATGCTGTGAAATAAAAACTAAAAGTCGCTAGGGCTTCGCATTTTCAGAACTGATCGGAAACTCAATGGAGCACTTTTTCGTTCTTGT